GAATTATGACTAAAATAAAAAATTTATTTATCCTGTTTTATTACTTTCTCGTGGATTTTAGATGATTTATTAATTTAAGGATTGATGGACGAAGAATTATTGTTTTCGCCGTTGAATTTTTTCATAAATAATAAAAACTGCCGACAGAGAAAATTCTGGGAGACCGAGACTTATTGAATTTTCGAGATCATGGGGATATCTCCATTACCTTGGCTCATTCCATGGGACTTCTCCATCCCCTTTGTTAGTAGTCGTGCAAGTGCTCCCGGTGTAGCTGAAGAAACCGACGTTTATGTTTAAACATGGAAAAATCCACAGTCACGAGCTGAATCATTCTTAAAATGTGTTTGTTTCCGTGAATTTTTGTTGCTCGGCGAGGGTGGGATTGAAAAGGGACAAAAAAATTTTAAAAATCGTGTCATCGTCCTCGTATATCGATAATATATCGAGTGCATGGCGTGTCTGGGAAAAAGAGGAACGAGGAAAGAGAAACCCGGGGGCAACATGCGACGGCACGCATGCAGTCAACCGTGAGATGCGCCTGGGTTTGGCACTAGACAGACTCCCCTCATACTAAAAATATATATACCAATAATTATCTTATTATGCAACGCCACGCTAACTCAGTCTTTAATTCATTTCCGCAATTTTAGAAGAAAATTTTAACTCAAAAAGTGAAGAAAGTGAAAGAAGAAGAGAGAAAATCCACCACCAAGAAATTTTCTTCGTTCTTTCTCAAATAAAAAATGGATGAAACCCATTAAAAATCGGTAAATGCAGATTTGAATGCAGCAATTAGAGGATTAGAGCAATTATGATTTAGGTGAGAAATTCAGGCTGGAATTGCAATGAGCGATTCGCAAAAAAAAAATGGCAATAAATGAACAAGGAGAGAAGAGATGTCATCAATTTTTTTTTTCTCAGTGTGAGCAATCGAATGGTAAAAATGGGATCGGATTGGCACAAGCAATTATGGCAGGGGGATAGGAAGGAATCAGAAGTGGAGTAAAGGGTTTCCTGCGGTTGCGGGCGCGTTGTTGCGGTTAAAAGCCCGTAATACGTACCGCCGCACCGTCCAGGAGCAGTCACTTCTTAACTACCCACTCGATTCGATATACGTCTAACTATACCCACACTCTGTCTCTTTTTGCCGCTTGCACATTTATAATGTATAATACTCCATCAGGACAACCGAACGTCAATTATTCCACACTTGGACACCGACCGCAGAGAGCTGCACCGATAGATTCCCCGGGATTTTGCCTTTTACCGAATGTATCGAGTACAACCGATCATTAACATTATCCATTGGAGATACTTGCGGTCATACTGGCGTATGCCCATTCATCTATTTTATTTTCGGCGGGCGATAAATAAAATCGAGAATTGTCAACCCATCGATTTTTATCAGGCGAATTCTACAAAGAATTACGGGACAGGAGTTTTATGGATTTTTCGCAGTTGTCTCGATCGATCTCTTCTGTCCGTAATTTTTGGATTTTTCTCAACGATCGTTTTTTGGATTTTAATTTTTTTTCGGGGAATCGGTGGTCGAGTTTATTGAATGAACTGAAACCCATGGAGAGGCGCGCCTTCGAGTAATCGATGAGGATCGATCGATCGGGTCGATTTGAGGAGCGGAATAATATCGCATCGAGAAGCTTCTAATGCCGTGTCCTTGCAAATTGGATCGAGAACTGACGTCGTCCTTGGATATTTTTGCGCGTTATTAGAATGTCCGTTGCCTTGTCTATCGTAAAAACGTCCGTTCATTTTATGCAGAATTGAGAATTAAATAGCTGTCGGAAATTGGAAATTTGGGTTGGGGATACTGGAAAAAATTATTTATTCTTTCGGTTATTTTATAATAATTCCATGACTACATTATTCATATTTCATCATTCGGAAAAAAAATTAAACAGGCGCTCGCAGTGGAAGACTTAAAAGAAAACACTTCTATAAAATATAAATAATTATTAATAAGAAATGGACAATTCAGGAAAGATCATTTTCTCTAATTCATTTCCCTCGACGAAAAAAATGGAAATTTCCTATTAATTTCCTGCGAATTATTCAATTATATAAATGAATAAATTTTTTCAATGCAACCGGTGTTTTTTACTCATTTACATGAACATGCGTAATAAAAAACGGATAGATAACGAATATATAATCGATATATGAAGAATGTCGATCGGTTTCGAATATTTAAAACTCGATAAAATATCAACCCGACGTCCTCGTACTTTCCTGCATATCTTGATTAATTTCCGGGAAGGTAAATCACGCGAATTCCTGATATTCGCAATCGATAATCGCATCCCGACCGTTGGTTTGAATTTTCGTACTTTGAATGTCGGCTGCCGCCATCTGTGCATCCGCGGTGCAAACGATGTGAAAACCCGATGACGCGTGCACCTATTCGCGATATTTAAACAAAATACCCTAGCTCCACAGATAAGGATGACTCCTGCTTCATCCCTCCATTAAAAAAATATACAGGGATAATATGAACCCCTGAAAAAAAAGCGAAAGCGAGTGTCCATTAAAAATAGTGCGGTTTTTAAATTTCAACATTTTTCTTTTTTCTTTTTTCATTTTTCACATCTTCAAACAAACATGATTAAATTAATTCCCCAATGAATGAAGTGATGAAGTGTCAAGCGGGATTCCCCGATGTCCCTTCCAAAAATATTATCGAAATCAATCAGGTGCAGACGAAAATCGAATCAGGTCGCGCCTGACGTTGAACCCAGGTGTGACATGATCAGATCGGTACCCGATCAGTAGCACGACGTCATTTTTAATCAAGATGTGATCAGGTCAAACAGTTCAGGATTTTATCAAGTCATCATTATATCCACCAAGCATCACCGACTCCATCACCGATTCACCTCACCACCTGAAACTATAAATTATTCATTCTAAAATCATAAACTGATGGTGGTTAAAATAAAAGTTTAATTATCGCGGGTCATTGAAACGGGGTGAAGAAATGGATCAATTTCACACTCTGGGATGAATCTGAGCTGCACGGTTCGCTAATGACGGGATATTTGAGGGTATGATATATTTTTCTCTCGTCAACTGGATGAACGAATGAAAAGGCATCGAGAGGGTTAGTGTATGACGAATAGTTGGGCATTATCCACGCGTATTCTCGCACTCTGGGTTGTATTGGGGTCGCCATAAAGGGTGGCCAGCATGCTCGAGCGAGCGAAGGGGGTGGCAGATTGATCCGTCACGGAGCGCGAGCACAATCACCCCCATTAGACATTATGTGCCTGCTGGTTCGTATACATGAAACACATACGGAGAATCAGCCAGTATCAAGAGTTATCTGTGTGAGAGCTAAGCGGAATGCATCCGTGGTACCGTGTTGAGCAATGTTCTTTCGTGTGTGTGGCATTTTGGTTTGGTGCAGCCTGAGCTATGATACTTACTCCCATGTACCATACCCCCATCGGTTTACTACCGGTTTACTTCATTACTTTATGTATTTCGACGGTGTTCAATGCCAAATGCCGCACCGTCTAAATCACTGCGTTTTCATCTTCAAAAGAAATTCGCCTCTACGATTTTTTTACAGATGCAGATGAGCTCGAGTTACGACGTCCTGCCTAGTCTGGACTCTCCATTTTTTTATATCTTTCTTATCTTTCTTATCAAATTATATCTCGTTTGTATAAACGCAGAAATGAGGATTGCGCGAAAAAAGAGTGGAAAATCTCTACTTTGGTCAGACGTGGCTAGATCAGCTTCGAACAAGCGTTGGAAGATCAGGCTCGCGTGATGCGGGTGGAGATCATGTTTTACTCAGTCAGTTTGTTGCATACAAAAGCGAATTTGGAGTCTGATGGAAGGGGGTGGAAGGGGGTGGAAGGGGGAGGAAGGGGGTGGAAGGGGCCGATGGAAAAGTCTGAAGAACACACGTGTTTTGGGTAAAACGAAGCGATACGAAAGGCGAAAACGGCGACACGCGGCGTTGCTCACCATTTCCCGCGACCGCTGAAGCCACCCACGTCGGGCGACGCTCGTTTATCATCCGACAAATAGCCTTTCGCTCTCGCAAGTGGGTAACACCAGCATCTCTGTCACACCGTATGCACATCTTCACCATCTTCCTTTTCTCCACCTTCCTTCCTTCCTTCCGATTCTCAGTAGTTCTCCTCGAGTACGGACAGATTATTATAACCCACCGACACTTGTCTCTCCGCACTTTCATTTACCACACGCTCATAACGCTCTCTTAACGTTTCACATTATCTTTCTCTGTAACACTTTGACATTCTCGCAACAGCGGATTCGTGGGTCACAGATTGACGTTTGAGCAGCTACTTACGGACAATGTGTCTCTCTGTTGTCAGTCTTGAACATTTGGAAGATGTAAAATGAGTTTTTAGGAAGGGCTTTCTTTTTTCGTGGAACAAATAGAAATGCTGATTAGTATGTGTCACGTGTATGTGGTACATTGTATTTTTTGCCGGAAGACATGTGAGTATGTGGTATAATCAAAAATTTTCACTATTATTCAGAAAATATCTTGGATTGGAGCAATTTATTTAGAAAAATAGACAGCATAATTAGGAATGTCGCCCTTATTCTGAAAGGGGATTATATTTTTAGTAGAGAAGTAATCGGCGTGAGTAATTGAGTCATTTCCGTAACTATAATTAACTTCTTCCGTTTGAGAAGCGGTGGTGGAATTTCTAAAAAATTTCTCGTTATTTCACAATTCATAATTTTATAATGGAGACTCCACTAAATTGATTACTCATTCATCAATTCTTCAAATCATCGCGGCGAGTGAAAATGCAAATAAAATTAGCAACACAAGTTTTCGATTTGACGTAAGTGAGGAATTTTGAAAAATGATAAGAAATTTGCCCCGAGTGGAAAGAGAATAATCTCTGGGAGAATAATCAACTGAAGAAGGAGAAAAAGAAATAGCATCTTCGATGGAAGCGTCAAGAGTCTTGAAAGCGTTTGAGAGCGACAAAATGGAAGCGGGTGAATTCGGAGGGTGAGTTCTCCGGGGTGGTTGGGAGGTGGGAAAAAGCCACCTTGAGGAGAGGATAAAATGATGGGTGGTTGGTTTGAGGTTAACGGGGATTCGCCGAGGTGAGATGAATAAATAAGAGGGTTTTGAAAGGGGCTACTCTATACCGGGGTTATTACGTGGCGTCACGCGATGATGTATCCGCACTGGTTCAGATTGTCTCCACGAGATGGGACCACCAAGCGTGAAATATGCACCACCCCCGTGCTTAAATTCCCGAGAGGCTGGCCTCACTCACAACATCGTCACTTGAAAAATAAAGACGGAAGTGAAGGAAAAAGAAATCGAACAGCAGATTCATAACGCTGACTGAGAAACGGGGAGATGAATGGAAAATTCATCTCCCGACTCTTCGAGTTGGGTAATTTTGGTATTAAGAGGGGCATTTTTTTTAAGGGGATTGTAATTTCCATATATATTCGGAGCAGTGACGGGGCATAGATCATAAGGGCTCCGGACGAGGGCCACGTGCAGACGCGTGCTTGTCCCAGATCCGGTATCCTTCTGCTTCTACAATTGTTGCTGGGAATTTTTTTTCGTGAAATTCAAATGCACCACCCACCGCAAAACCACTCAAGTCGAGACCGAGAATTTTTTGACTTTATCACTCTTGCAGGAAAATCAGAGGTAACCCTTCTCTCGTCCATTAGGCGGGCCCATTCACTGCGGAGAATTGTTGGGGAATCCGTCATGGTTGGCACAATAGAACTCTAACAAAACATTCTAGGACTTGTCCACTCGAACTGAAAATTTTCAAAAGTCCCGGCTTTTTCTCTGAGACATCCGTAAGTCCCAATTTGACACCTCGGAAAAAAGAACTTGAGTCTCAGTCATTCAATCGAGTCTGTCAAGTCTAAATTCTTAAAAATAATCTTTAAAAAAAATTACAAAAATAATCTTAAAAGTCTCAACTTGAGGCTTGAGAATTTCAATCACAGGAAAAATTAATTTCCCTGAAAAAAGAAGAAGATTAAGTTTTTCGCATAAATGTGAAAAGCGAATTTCACGGAGGCCGTGGTAGATGGAAAATAAATGGAGGAATGACGGATGGAATGTAATAACATAATGATCCTGTGGCATTTAATTCCCTCGAGAGGATAATGGGAGAAAGAAGCTCGAGTGTTTGACATTTAACATTTCCCTGGGGATCTCCCTGTGACGTCCTCCTGTTGATGTTCTTGTAGGTATTGGTATATTTCTGTCACCCTTTTTCCCGCAATCTCGACTCCTCCACGAAAAACTCTCCAATTTTCACAATATTTCCAAGAACAACAATAATAATTCCCCACCCACCATTTTAAATCCTAAAATTAATGCATTTCTATCGAGTTTTTATCTCCGAAGGGAATAAAGTTTGAGGCACAGTGACTGCTGGGTACTTGGGCTCAAGTTGTGTCGAGAAACTACTTGGCAATAAAAGTCTCCTCTCTGGTCTTGTCGTACTAATTTTCAAGGGAAAACATTACCACCACCGTGAAGATGTATTGTGGAGCGTTAAAATTTATTTTTGTATCAAGTGGATGTGTCTAACTAGTTTGTCCTCTTGCAAGTACTGTAAGGAACGGGGTGGTCTTAGTTGCTTAGTCGCCAAGATTAACGATACTCCACGGCTCTTTTAAAGAGAATCCCATTCTTCGTACCTCTGCCAAGATGTCTTGCCCATCTTATCAGTGTGTTGTACCCATCTACAACGAAATTACCACTTGCCTCCTACCTATTATTACTTTTATTAAAACTACCACTGAAAATAATCCAAAAAAACCATCAAGTTTTGTAATAAACAAATGATTTTTTCACTCAACATAAATTAATCAATAACCATTAATTATATATTATTTTTATTGTCAGTAATTACAATTATCATGGAGAATTCCGAATATAATTCAAGTTACTATAAAAATTAAATAAAATTCATGGAATAATCATTGAACAATCAATTTCGTTGAAGATTATAAAAAAAAAACTCAATTCAAAAAAAATCCTCGGAAATTGATTTCATTTAAAAAAATAATTATTTATTCATTCTCATAATTTGTTTCAATTGTCCATCGAATAACGAGTTGTTAGAGAATGATTTCCTTATGATTTCCGTCGAAAAGTAGCCCGTCAAAAAATTTTGCGAGTGGAAAGCTTAGCAGTGAATTATCGATATGAGATTGAGTTGAAATGAGTGGTAGTCAGGTGAATTGAGAAAAGTAAGAAGAGAAAAGATGGAGAAAAGATGGAGTCTAGTTGTAAAAGTGGTGAACGTCGAGGGGTGAAACTCGACGTTTGGAGTTGAGAGAGTAGAGAACCGCAGTGAGTAGTCGGGGTGGGCATTTGTGACATGGAAAAGAGAGGGAGCTGAGGTATACGGAAAAGGGAGTGGAATTGATTGCTTTCATTACGCAAAAAAAAAGTCCTCACCCCTCCCTCCCCCCCAGCTCGTCTCACCCATCCTCGAATCGCGTATTTTTAACTTGTGCCGCGGTGGCGAATAAGTAAGTGCGCTATTTACATCAAATCTCGTAAGTTATCGCTATGCGGCTGCCACTGGCCCTTTTTTTTCTCCTTACCCCCGCTCATTCGTACTCTTTATTATTATACGAAGCTTTTGCCATCGAATAATGTCGCTGGCTAAATCTTCCGACACGGTGATGGCCCCACTCGAGGTACATTAAACGGATAAACCTAATTGTCTGGTGGCTCGAGGGTGATTATTACCCTCACGAAAAATTTTCCAAGGAACACGGAAAAAATTATGCGACAAAATGTCTAGAATATTATAAACATCATTTCTTGGGTGATATATTGTGTTTGGCACGTGCCTTAGTCGGCACCATTCAAGTTTTTCCTCAGATCTATCACGAATCGAACGGATTTATCGGAAAATTTTTTGGCTCACTGAGTTGAATCCAAAATGCAGTCGTCCTGCACCGTCTTGAGAAATCCATTTGAATCAAGTACGACTGAATTTTAATTGATGATCCATCTCGATATTCAAAGTTATTCCAAATAATTTTTTAATTCAACTCAAACAGATTCCAATTCGAAAATAAAATAAATTCTTGTGTCTAATTCCGATGGATCAATCTCTCGATTGAATCGGATTCATCAACTTGATTCAACTGAATTTTTCCCCAATCTCGATTTGAATTAACAACTCGCGTATGAATGTGACAGAAGAAGACAATGTCCCTCATTGTTCTAAGATTGAATAAACCGACGTAAATATAACGTCGTCATGTATCCCCGCAGGAGAGTCGACATTAACTCCCAGTGTCCCCAGTTCAATTAAACATACGTCCTCCGGACCTCGCGGACTCTTCGATCTTCCGTTCTATATGACAAATGAGATTAATACAGCGGCTGAGGGATGAATTAGGAAGCATAGGACAGGGGGTGGATTGGTTAGAGGGTAGAATTGTCATGATAAGGATGCACCCACAGCGCACACATTCTCCCCGGGTGATCGATGCATTGAGCTACACTCGTAGTCGTGTCGACCTCATCTGCATCTGGCCCAGGCCACTATATACTCCAGTGGGCTTCCATCTACGTCCTCGACCTCATCCGCATCCATATGCCACACAGGGCTGAGCAATACACACCGGCAACACACACACCTACCACTGGTGCATGTGTGCCTCGGTGCAATCATGTCAGGACATATTGCCCGTCAACGCCGACCCGCCGGCTCGTTCGTTTACGCAAATGATATGCCAAACCGTAATCTCGGGAGATATCCTCGGGAGATTAAGCTATGCCTCGAGAGCCTACACTCCATAATATGGTGAACAAAAAAAAATTGTCTCAATATTTTGGGGTGAGATTTATCATCAATCATCCGCTTCTTCGCACTCTGCGCACTGTTCTATTGCAAAATTATCGTTCTGAAATTGGGAAATTTAAGTATCTCATTTCCAATAGTTTTTAATAATTTTAGTAATTATTGGTTGAGATCTATTTATCCACATTTTTTGTAAGCAAAATTTGTCGGAAATCTCAGGAGCTAAGGGCAAATTAATTTATCAATTTTACTCCTGGCAAATGAATTTTTTCATAGAGATTTGAAACTCAAACTCAGTTCGTTGGGTTGAAATAAAAAGAGGTTGAATCCACCGCAGCATCCGGAGTATCTCGTGCTCATGTGTTAGCCAGTGCTAAATTCCAGTTGTACTGAATGTCCCACGGTTGTATCTAGTGTCACATCGAATGTAAGTGACATACCGACAGTCACCGAGGTATGAGTAGACAAGAGCGAAATGAGGGAATTCAAATACTATCGGTGTACTTGAATGTAAACCGGCCCTTGTGAGATTTGCGGACTGACACCGGTCCCACCGACGCTTTGCAATGGCTGACCGCACCTTCCGGGCAATCCGAGAGACCAATCCCTTCTTACACTTCCACCGTGCACATCGCTAACTTGCACTCCCATCCTTTCTTTTTTTTTTCTTTCATTTCGTCATTGTCGAGGCTGTTTTCCAAGCAAATCAATTTCTTTGTTTTCCCAGGTACCGTAAGCAAGCAAATAATTTTCCCGATGGGCCATCACTTCGATATTTACAATTAAAAATCTCAACGTCAAAAGTCCTACCCGGGTAAAAAAAAAATTGTAATCGAAATATTTTTTTCCTAATATTCAAAAAATTTCTGGAAAACTTTTCAGAAAATTTTCCTTTTGAAACAAAAAAAAATCGGAAAACAAAACAATTGTATTTTTGGGAAATGTTTTGAAAAAATTTTCTCATTAAAAGTTTTTGTATGTCCAATATTGTCCAAGAAGTTTTCCAGAAATTTTTTGAAAATTTGAAAAAATATTCCGACTACAATTTTTTTACCCGGGTAAATTTTTTTTATTCATATATACGATAGGATGAACCTATATGAGGCAATTAAATTTTTTTAGGACCCACCAGGATACGTAGACAATTTATCGAGATCAGGATTTCCCAAATATCTCGGGACTGATGGAACATATT